ATATAGATGTCTCAAGAATTTTTAAATCACAGCTTTTTAAAAATCAATCCTTTTAAAATTGTAAGCATTTAAAACAACATGAAAAATATCTGGAAAGAAACCATTGATCACTTAAATTTAGATATTTGGAAACAATTACTACTGCCAGAGTTAATTTTAAAACATATCCCATTAGCACTATTGTGCATATGTTTAAATGGGATTTGGCAGGTGGATAAAAGATCTATTGATTTCTGTTTAGGGGATTGCTGCAGACTTGCTGTTTCTAAAGGCTTTCAAACCAGGTTTGAATCTTACAGAACAACTGAAGCCTGGAATCCTTTCCTGGCATTGCAACTCCCAAAATGATATGTATAGTAATCCAGGGCTCAGGAAGGCTCTAAGGCGCAAGCAGAACAGCTGTTGTGTGCTGTTGCAGAGGCTCTGAGGCAAAAAAAACACTTTGGGGCAGAAAAATTGGCTATTAATCTTCAGATAACTAACTAGTTTCTATAAATAACAGTGTATACTCATCCTAACTCATCCTACTTAGAAGAACTGCGTACTCGCTACTTCCTGGGCTTCATTCCTTTCTCCGTTCAATGAGAACATTGAGAACTAGAATATTTAAGGCACTGATAGATGATGCATGGTCTACCAGGTTAGACACTGTGGTCTGCCCAGGCCTGACAAGGTTCTGAAATTTTGCTTTGATTATTTTAAATGACAAAGTATCTGCACATATGACCAAGACTGAAAAGATAAAATATGTTGTGAAGACACATAATGAGAAGACCCACGAAGTATCATAAAAGACAAGTACATGTTAAACAAATTGATGCCTTAGAATTATAGAGTTAGAGGGTCCTGTTAGAGTCCATCTACCTTATGTTAGGAATGATGCTGCCAAGCAGCTTAGAAATCAGAATCAAAATTGCTAATATCTAAAATGTGCCTCTCCCTTCCTCAAAGTTAGCATATGAAGACATGATACTGGGGTTGACTTGAGATCCAGTGAGAAGCTAGGAGACTTGAAAATTAGAAATCACAGACCACTCACTAGGACATAGAGTGATCTCAGGCTTGGCTAGGCAGTGTGAACGCTACCTTGACTTCCTGCCAGGTGTCCAAGATATAGCTGTATTTTCAGAGAGTAGAAAGTCATACCAGTCATGTTAGAAAAAAGAAAAAGAAAAAAATCAATAATTGGTTAAGCTACTTGCATGGAGCCTATTAGACTATTAGACAATTAGGCTATGAGGTGTCAGTGGCTACCTGCCCAGCCTGAGATCCCACTAATCTATCAGCCTTGTCGCATGAGAACCTCTCCTGGCGTCTGCTGCATTTTCAGAAAGGCTTCAGGGAGCATCAGATAAGTCCCACCTGGGTCATGCCAGGCCTAGCATTTTCAGGAAGCTGTTCTCCCCTCCCTCCTCTCCCCCCCAGCCCCCGTCTCTCTCTCTCCCTCTCCAGCCCCACTCTTCTACTGATTACTGACTGCATGGCAATCTCAGTGTGGAATGGTAGAACCTGCCCGTTTGCATTTACCCCTCTCAATTTCCCAGTCGCTTTAGGCTGACTGTGTCTCTTAGGTTAAGCACAGAGGGAATTTCAAAAGTTGATTTCCTTACAGCATGTCTGTGGGAAAAAAATTGGCACTGCATAAAGCTCTGAGCAGGATTTAAAAGTTTCATTTAATGCAATTTTTAGAATGAGGGACAAAAGAAGCCAAAGGCTGAGTGAGAGGAGTGGTGTGGGGCCTGGAAAAGTGGTTGCTGTATGGCCATCAGGGAATAGAGAGTGTAAAAAGCTTCTAGCCTCATCTATAAAACCCAGAGCCACTTGGCATCTCTCTAAGTAACAAATGGACCTAAGGGCTCAAGAGAGGGGATATTGGCAGGAAATAGTCCCTAGGGCTACATGCACTTCAGACCCGTGTGCATTTCCTTATAATGCGTAGATCATAGTTTACAAAGCTGTGTTCATATATCTTTTCTACCTGTGTACCTAATTTTGCACTTTCTGTTTTGTCTCACAATCATAATTTCTGAAGATAAGAGAATATATATGCACACTTGAGAAGGTAAGAAACAGTAAATTCAATAAAAAGAAACTGTAAATTTTGCTTTTTGGGGTATTAGGAAGAGGAAAGAGGTGTGAAAAAAACATTAAGACAAACAAGACAGAAGAGAGAGAGGAAAAGACCACTTTTTTAAACTTTCAGAACTTGTTTTAAATGAAAACCTGTTCTATATAAACTATTTAAAATTGACCTGAAGGTTTGAAGTACCTCCTTGTATCCGAAGCCAGCTGCAAGCACATACTTCCTTCAGAGCAGAGAACAAAGCAAGAATCCTCCAAACCCTGAATGATTTGTTTTTAATTTCAGATCAATTTCCACCAGAGTACTTAATTCACTGGTACTTAATTCTCCAGGAAGAGGGATGCTCAGTGGATGTTGCAACCACACACACACACACACACACACACACACACACACACACACATTAAAATTTAAATGTCTTGCTTATTCCAGGATAAACTCCTTACTCAGTTTTGTTTCTCTTTTTGATATATAGAGGCAGCATATTAACTTGACACCAAAGAAACTATCTACAGAATAAGAAGATTCCATTTCTTTTCCTATGTATTAGCAAAGGTAAACTGTGTGCTGTCAACTGTACCCTCCCCAGACATGAAGAAAAATAAAAACAACAAAAATCCTTACCTGTTGAAGAGATAGCAACAAGCAAAACTTCACATCCTTATTTTTCTTAAAGACCAACACCATTAATGTTTAAAAAGGTTGTAATTCTTGGCAAGATTTTATTTGAAAGTGAAATGGATATTTGATAGTGTACAAGAAGCTAATGGCCTGCAATCCTTTTGAACCCGAATCTGGGACTCATTTGCACTATTATGTTCCTTCCTGAGTAAATGAGAGACTTTATTATTGTTTAATTTAGTCTTTGCTATTCTGAGGTCTTTGAAATTTCAGTTGCTATAGTAGCCTAGTGAATCTCTTATTTTCTAGAAAATATTTAGGATCCTACCCTAGGCTAAATGTAAATTGCTCAAAAGCCTTTATCAAATTTAAACCTGAAGTTATTGTATTCTCTGGTTTATTTTCACAGGCACGGATTTCTAGGCCCTTCTTTCCAAAGATGCTCAATTTCTGAGCCCTAAATTTGCCTACCACCATCTGTAATTCTGCTCTGGTTCAGCCTTCCAAGTTGGTTATAAATTCATCTCAGACATTCAGCACCTCGGCCAACTCCTCTGAACCCTTGGCCTGGCCTGGGCTGTCTACTCTAAACGAAAAAGATCAAACTAGATAGTCTCTCTCTCTCTCTCTCTCTCTCTCTCTCTCTCTCTCTCTCTCTCTGTGCTTTATTTTTAATTAATTAATCAATAGAAATTGTATATACTTACGATGTACAATGTGATGCTTCAGTACGTGTATATATTGGGGTGTGACCAAATCAGTCTAATTAGCAATCCATCACCCCAAATATTTATCATTTATTTGGATCCCTCGTTTAATTTCATCCTTTCTCTACAAAAGATAATATGGCAAAAACAACACGTCATGTTTTACTAACAGTGGTTTACACTGGGGAGCATCAACGTCATTGTGTACTTTTAGCAGCTCCTTTTCCTCACATTTTATAATTTTCTTTTTCCACAGCAGCATCCCAGTGCCATCCTGTTGACGTGGATCAGGGAAGAGACGCCTTCCCCAAAGGCTGGCCAAACAATCTCGGCCTTTCATTAGCGTGTAACTCTGTGTTCCCGCTGGAGCTGGGACGGAAGCATCATCTTCCCGCTGGGGCCCTCTTGTCCTCCTGCCTACCAGAAAGCTGAGATCCACGAAATATAAAATAGTAAATATAAGAGAAAACAAAGGTTGGTGACTTCAGGAAAGCTCAGTGCCTGAGGCTTATCTCATCCTGCTCATCCCTCAGGCCTCTCTGCCTGCCCACCCCATCTATAGTTGAGGCGCAGCTTTCCAAGGCGATTCCCCTGGCCAGGAACCAGACTCTCACCCCAGTCTGTTCCTCACAGCCAGCAGCATAGAATGACCACCAGGAGGCCAGGAACAAAACACTTAAATGTTACATTTATTAAGGAAATGTTAAATAAGAAAAAAAGTCAAAACTGTCAAAACGGTGTCACGGATATCAAGAGCACTTTTGTGGAGTAAACCGTGCAGTCACGAGCTACGGGAGTTCTATTCTGAGTCTTTGGCCCCGGGTTAGCTGGAGCCCCAAAAGACTCAGTTGGAAATTCACTAAAAGAAACAATTTCACCCCATTCACATTCGCAGGCTCCCCCTCCCCCCACCCCTTCTCCCACAGTGACGAAACTCTAACCCCCAGGCAGGCAAACAGGCCACAAGGGCAGAAAAAACTTATCAAATATTTGTACTCAAGCAAACTAACACAAAATTCCTTAAAACGGCACGTTACAATCAATCAAAGGTGTCAGCGCTCCCCTCCCGGGCTGGGGAGAGCGGAAAGGAGTGGGCGTGAATCTGCCCACGGATTTGTGTGTCCCCATTAGGTTTGTTGCGAGACGTATAAACAGGTCACTGTTCTGGTCACCAGGCGATCTGCACCGCTGGGCCTCTCCCCCGCCCGCCCTCTCCAGCTGCCCCCAGGGCTTGGCCAACCTGCAGGTGAAGGGCCTTCGCCTCGTCCGTCTCCCCGAATCCCACGCAAGTAGCAGCTTCCAAAGTTCTGCGCCCTAAACGCCCTCTTTTGCCACCTGCTGCTGAGTCCGGAAGTCAGAGCGCTCCCCTCCTACAGCCAGGCATGGGGACTTTCGGAGGGCCAGCGAGAACGGTGCGCTTTGTCCGGAAAGGAGAAGTCCAGAGTGCTCGCTTAGGCAGCATGTATACTAAAATAGGAGAAGTCCAGAGAAATAATTGGCTCCGACAGGTTTGCCTTGGCTGATTTCTGATGGTGAGGGGCGCAGAGGGACTGGCGCAGTAGGGGCGGTGGGGGGGCTCCCGCGGGACTCGGAGGGCCGGTCAGTAGGGCCCCACGACCACCGCCTCGACCTCTTTGGACGGTCTCCGGTCCTTCACCAGAAAGTTGATCATGCCCTCCGACTTGATGAGCAGGTTGCAGCCGAGGAAGAAGATGCCGAAGACCACCGTGAGCGAGAGCACGCACATCACCGCGATCTGCACCACGCGCATGATGTACAGGCTGCGCTCATCCGGGCCGCCCTCGGCGAAGCCGTCGTCGGTCACCACGGACGCCTGGGTGCAGCAGCGCAGGGCGCGCTCCAGCGCCTCGCTGCTGTTGGCCAGGAACAGGCCCGCCACATCGGTCTGGTTGCCCAGCACTGGATTCATCGCTGAGCGGTCGGGCGCCCCGGGAGGCGCGGGGCTGAAGGGTGGGAAGGCGGCAGAGCGGGAGGAACAGG